AAGGGGGGAAAGGAAAGAAGACAAGAGAAGGGAAGGGAAGGGAGTGGAAGAGAAGGGAAGAGAAGGGAAGAAGGAGAAGGGAGCAATTGAGAGATCATAATCTACCCTTAGCTCCAGCAAGGTGCCAGCACAGCTCTGTAACTGTTCATATCACATCACAGAGAAGAGGGTATAATAAATCAGCCTACAATGCAGCCATACCCTTCTCTCAAATAGGTTTCATGAAGGTCCTCTCTTCCTCTTATGGCTTATAATACTACAGTAAAAACCCTTAAGGTTCTCAGCTTCTTTGGACATCTTGGCACTCTGGTTTCTCCCTGATTTAGAGCCCCAAGAGATCAGACAAACCTCCCAAATTGCAGAGATCCAAATTAACATTTCCAGGGAGCAGAAAAGCACCCGAAAGCGAGCAGGGTGTTTGTTATCATAGTGTGGCTTTCTTGAATAAATAACTTGCTAAATACAGGCCTGTCACTTTATTTAACCCTAGAGCAGAAACACCTCTAAACTCCAGTGCTGAAACAGAGAGTTTTGTTATGTTTCACCAATTCAAACCCAAACCATAAGAATATCACATTAGGGAGAGCACCTTATGAGTTCATTTATCTGTGTGTATGAAAGGATATGGGGTAGATGGGACCCATTGAGTGAGTCCTCAGAGAAGGCACCAGATGCTCTGAGTCTAGCTGTGCTAAGTCCTCCTTTAAAGGTGACTAACAGCCTTCAAGCCTATTGAGAACCAGGCATGTCCCTCAGATAAGACATCTAAGCTACAGAGAAATTCTAACTTGATAGCTCTAACAACCATATAGGGCAGAAGAGCTTGCGATCCTACATATTCCTGGTTCTATCTCCAGCAAATCTGACCTAGCAGTTCTGGAGTTGAGGAATCTATATTTGTGATCAACACCTCAGTGATAATGATGGCTGTATCAGCACACCATAATGTATCACTGGGTCAGGCCATCTAAGGGAACTGAACTAAGAGTCTGCATTTCCTGAAAGAAAAGCTCAGTCACTCTTAACCCACTTTCTGTTACAAATGGATTGAAAAGAGGCACAGATAAGATAGAGACAGGGAACTGAAGAGAAGGAATCTGGACAGGTTACACAGCTCATCTGAGACAAAAGGGTAATTATCTCAGAATAAAGCATTTAAATTGAAACAGCATTTCTGTTTTCTTCCTCTCAGATTCTGGGGATCAGAAATCTACATTTGGAAATCAGACTTGGGTGTTGTATTGCAACAGCAAGCAGAAACGACATCCAGGGTTTGGAGACAGATTTATTTTACGTCAACAGGCACTGAATGAGGCACTCCCAAAATAGCAGGCCCCAATCTCTGGTGGTCTAGGGCTTATATGGGATAAGCAAGCAGGAAGTACAGAGGCAGAATGGCTTGTCAGTTGGGGATTGGTTTACCAAATGTGCATCACAGTGACCAGCTATTTCTAAGAGACAGGAGCAGCCAAATCTGGAACCGGAACTATTACCTGGGCAACTAAGAAACTGAAGTATACAGGCAGAAGGGAGGCATTTTCTGTTACATTACTGTTGTTGTTTAATGATCTGGAGTCACTTGCTTTCTTTGTCCAACTTTGCTTCCCTGGGACACATCAAACTTGATAAAGAAAAGTATGGGGGAAAAGTTCAACGAGCTACTATTTCTACTCACTTTTTCAAGTGAGACTATCAGTATACATTTGAGGTGGTGCTTAGTCTCTCCTTCAAGGCCAGGATAGACCAACCCTCATTATAGAGATGGGATCCCATCTGCTCATCTGGCCCTAACGGAAGTCCAGCTTTGACCATTCTATTTCATGACCACCTATTATTAGAGAATGTCAAGGTGTCTTGCCTGGTTAATGATTTAAGAATTTACGTTTGTGACTTGTAAGTCACCATCTCATGCTTCATCTCCTGGTAAAGTGTACATATTTGGACCAGTTTCTATCAGGTAGCAACCTGCAGAATCTCAGATCCATAGATTGGGCTATCTCCTCTATTTACCACTTCCTCCTTTTCATTTTTATAATAAGTTCTAAATATCATTTGGCCCTCAATCTTTTAAACTTTTGCCTTAACGCCTGATTCTACTTCTGAGCAAACTAAATGCATGATCCCTGGGAATAGCAGTGCTGATGATGTAACCTTTTTTTTGAAGACATAACTTTATCAATATCAACTAGATGTGACCTCAATGGAGGACTGACGTTACTCTCCATTTACTAAAAAAGAAAGGCCTGGCACTAACTTGCCCAAACAAAAATCATCCTCTTTGGCAGATGTCACCCAGCATGTAATTAGATTACATCTAACAACTCTATATTGACTGACAATTCATCAGTCACCTAGAGATGCATTGCCCAATAAGATTACATTGAAGTACGTACCGGGAAGCTAAATTGTTCAAATTTGAACATTCTAGGGATGCTTTATAAAGTTTTCCAGTACTCACTGGATGCTAGTTCCAGCTGTTAAAATTTTTCTGGCTAAAATTATTAGAGCCAGAGGCTGTTCACTAGAGTATGGGTAACAAGGTACCCATAATTGAATTCTGAAGAAAGTATTAGCTCAGCCCATATCCCTAGGGAGCTGGGGTGGTCTTTGATAATTAAGACATATCTCCTGCCTGGATTCTTTAACTAGAAAATAGTGTCAACCCTCTCTTATGCTTAGCTGAGTGTCATGGTATATGGATCTGCCCTAATTGGACAGTAGAGAATATCTGCACTCACATTTTTGCCCAAGAATGTTTCTCCTTATCTTCTGTGCTGCTAATGGTTATCACAAGTCAATTAGGGAAATCAATATTCATAAATAATTACCTCAGACATTGTCTGTTCATCCTCCTAATATTCTTTCCTTAATTCTTAGCAAACGAGGTGCTTCAGTTGTTTCCAACCCAGACAAATTCTACCTAGTTGTACTTCTGTGGTGTACAGTGTTCAGATACATAATACAACACAGCCTAATAGAGCTGTAATGAGAGCTGATTATCTGGGAGTCATTGTACTAAATGCCATACATGCAGGGTTTTATTTGACTCTTAAAACAATCTTTTGTTATTATTTCTCCCACTTTACAAATGACAAAACTTAGACATAAAGGTTATGTTACATAAGATCACACAGCTGTTAAGCTGTAAAGCCAGAATTTAGACCTATGCAGTCTAATCCAGAATTTCTGTTTAACTATTCTACCATATTTCTTTCCTAAAGTAATGACTTGATTGCAGGCAACACTATATTTCATAACTGGGTGTGGTTTCTATAGAGTAACTTCAATTGTTCAACTTATTTCTGAAAGACTCTTGTAAAGGATGCCTCTGGAGGACACCAGCAGCCATTATCCTTGAGAGATCTTCTTCTGTAAGAGAGCCAAGCAGACAAAGCAAATGCATTCCAGCACTAAACCTGACAGCAGATTCGTGGATCTCAATGATCTTTTGTTTTCGTTGCTCAAACTGAAATATTGATGGAATGAGACTATAAAACCTCCATCATGACCTCACATGCATGGCCAGCTATCTCAAGGGGTGCTGTACTGGACAAAGAGAAGCCCTGCAGGAGGCTTGAGGAAAGGTGACTGTTCTCACAGGACAGTAATGGTCAGTCTGAACTCACAGGGCCTTGATTTCAGAGTCACGAGAGAAATTGCAACAACTTCTAACACAGCCATCAAGAAACAGCTCAAACTCACTCAAGTAAAGAAGGCTTTATTGGTTCATGGACCTTGAAAGTCAGGGTGTAAATTTTTTGCCAGATAAAGCTGATTCAGAGACTCAAGGTGGTCAAGGCTCCATCACTCACTCTGTTGACCTCTCAGCTCTAGAAAGCCCAGAGTGGCTTCTTCCTCAACATCTCTTTCCACGTGACCAACAGGATGGCTGCAGGTGGTTCCAGGCTTACATCCTCCCAGTTGGGAATTCCAACAGAAAGGTGATGGGCCCTCACAAAGTCCATGACTCAGTCCTTTGGAAGACTATAATTTGTCCAGCTTGGAATGTGTAACTAATGCAAACAACCCCTACAAGGAGGTGGGAAGATGATACATGGTAAGATAGCTTAGGTCACATGTCCACTCCTACAGCCTGAGAAAGCTGGGAATGTGGAGGTGGAGGAGGAACAGCCTCACCCATGGACTGGGAGAAGAGCTTCCCAGAAGAACTGTACAACTAAGAAAGCACTGTAGGGCCAGGGATATAGCTCAGTGGCTCAAGCACCGGCCTGGCAAATGCAAGGTCCTGAGTTTGATTCCTGGTACCATAAAAACAAAAAACAAAACAAAAAACACTGTAAACAGATAAAACCTTATATAAAACACTTTGGCAGTGAGCTAAAGTTAACTATACCTCTATACCTAATTTTGCCCAGGGGAAAAAAAGACAGGCTTTCTCTGATCGGACAACTTTGATTGCCTTTCTAGAGTTTTTAGAGACAGTGGAGGAAAAGCAACAGTATTTTGGGTTTCCCATTCAGAAGACCTGAGCCCCATGATACAGTGATGAGCACTCTGAACTCTGAATCCAGACCTTATCCAATGGCCTAACTCCAGTGCAGAACAACCCTATGCATGTGGGTAAGTCTCTCCTACATTCTGCGATGTCCTGGGTAGAGAATTAGTAAGAAGACCAGCACACATTTCTCATCTCAGAGATGTACTTGCATTGTGATTTTTAAAAATTTTCCTTTTGTCTGAGTGTCAGTTCTCATCTATATGAGGATAAGAGGTTATTTCTAAAATCCTTTTAATTAGAAAACTCAACATATTAGCAAAACATCTGCAATTCTGATCCTTCTAGAAAAAATATCTCAATATAGTTCACAAGCTCCCAAACCAGACACATAAATCCAATCCTGCGCTGCTGAAGAATGGAAGTAAACAGTTCTGTTTGCAGAGCAAACCAATAGGGTATATAGGGAGAAAGTCCATAGCCAGAGATCTGGGGCCCATGACGTATCATCTTCAGGAGGCACCTGAGGATTCACAGAAGGGCCTCAGGACCACAGCTTGGGCTTGATGAAAACTTTGCCGTGTGTTTCATGTCAGTGCATGCCAGTCCAGAACATCAAGACTGTAGGTCCCACCAGCATGCACTGTGCCAATCTCCTTGGGTGATAGAACAAAGTCCCACATGTTCACACCTCCAATGTCTCCCACCAAAGAGTGGTTTACATCAAACCTCCCACCAAATGCATACTGATCCTCCCCAAAGATGATCACGGCCTCTGTCCCCACAGAGTACTCTGTCTGCAGACTTTTCCCCACCTGGGGCTTCCCATCTACCCACAACTCTATGATCCCCAAGATGAATTCCCAACTGGCAAAAATGTGACTTCCCATGTGGAGCCATGGGAATTTCAGGAGCCTTGAAAAATATTTCAGGCCCACCCACTCCAAGAACATATCCTCTAACTTTAAATCAAACATGAGGATCTCATTAGCTTCTTTCTTGGTAGCATAAAAGAAAACTCTATATCCACGGGTCATAAACAGTTCAGTGTAGACATGGAGGCACACAGTGAAGGCGTTCAGTGGCCTCTTCAACTGTGCTTTCTGGAATACATAGGAGTTATCTGACTCTTTCACAGACACAGAAGTCTTCTTAGATATGTCTGTGGGACAGAAAACCAAGTGGAGATGAGAAGTTTCTCAGATTACAAAGATCTGCACCTTGCTTAAAAATAGGTTGGCATCAAACCAATTGACTCCTTCCCTGGTTACACACACACACACACACACACACACACACACATCATGCCAGATATTCCTCTGAATTCAATTTATATGATCTTAAATCCCACCCCTATCCCTCAGATAAAATCTCTAGTATAGCTTGGGATAGCCCCTAGCTTTCTGGCCAAACACATCAGAGGCTGACCAAGAACAGGTAACTCGACAGCAGCTTCTCCATGGTCACTTTCTGCTTCCTATAATGTAAGGGTCTGGATTCACAAATGTCTTTGTCCCAAAGTTCTCTGGCTATAAGTCCTAGATCCCCTGCCTCAGCGCTACCTCATACTGTATAGACTTATATCCACAACTGAGTGAAGTCTGCCGTTTTGTAAGTAATTTTCTAATACTGTCTCTTGGGCCAAGTGTCAGGGCTTTGGGAGGAAGGGAGGCAAGACCATTCTGGAACAGAGAAGCCAATGTGGCTTATGTATTACAAACTCCTGTGACTACTGAATCACCCGTTCTTTGTGACAGGAAGAATGAAGAAGCTTCCCAGGGTTCCACTCTGGCTATCTATCCTGAAGCAATAATGAAACATTTTCACTTAACAGACAAGTGGCCATTTGTGTGTGCATGGCAGGTACATGTCCAACAACTACTCCAGACCACGTTATGGAATCAGGCAGAGAAAAGCTGTCACTCGTACAGGTGGACATCAACACTGATCCCTTCATACATAACTGCTTGTTTACAGATTAGGAAATGAGGAAAACAAATATACCATTCCCTGAGCCAAAAATTGGCTTCTTAGCCAACTGAGTGTAATTATCAGGAGATCTCTGGTCCTGTGAAACACATACCTGATCACAAACGTACCACTGTGTCAGAGTGTCTTCAAACTCCAACTCTCTATTTTCCAAGTCTGTAAAGTTTCAAGAAGGAGTCAGGGCAATCTGCATCTGTTACTTTTGTCACAAAATTTAATTTGTCACTCCACACTTCCTGGCAACCCTGCTACAGTTCCCTACTTAACTCACTTTTTAGAATGACCATTTTGCTACTTCTCCTTTGTCCTGAAGCCTCCAGAATCACATCCTTTCCCACACTCGCCTGATGAACTCACCTCCCCAATAACAAATTAGAAATGACCAGAAAAGAACTATTATATCCTTGTGGCAGAGGCTCGGGTCATTTCTCCAGGCCCCATTCTCAACTTCTCTTACAAGAAGAGCAGTGTTTGTAGCTGGACACATGGTCACACAGCCAAGCACTAGCTTTCCCAGCCTCCTCTGCAGCTAGAAGTGATAATGTAATTGAATTCTAGTCAGTAAGATGTGAACAGAACAAGGGCAATCTCTAGGTTGTTCCTATAAAGAGAAGATATGTGCTTTCCCCTTTCCTTTTGGCTGGTATTCAGACATGACATCAGAAGACAGAGCAGCACCTTTAGACAAAGTGTAAGCCGCATGTTCAGGTTAGCACGGCAGCAAAATAGATGGAGCCAGGATAATTTATTTTGGAGCCACTGAATCAGCCCTACACTGCCTACCTGAACATTTACTGAAAGGAGAAATAATCTTCTCTCTCATTAAGTCACTAATAACTTGGTCTTACTGTTTTCACATCCTAACTGATAACCTTCTACAATCTCACACCACAAAATCTACCAGGTTTTCTGCCTCCCCCATTACAAAAGCTGACTTTTCCCTTCTGTAGTAGATCCCAGACCTCCACGATGAATGGAGGAATTCTACTCCCACAGGGACTGCCTCTATTCTGGGTCAGTTTCCGTTTCATCTTTCACTCAGTCATTCCCCAAAGTAATAATTCAATATTTAATATTTCAGAGAAAGAAGAAAGAAAAGGAGGAGGAAAGGAAGTAGGAAAGAGTTATGTGTAATTATAACCTCCTTTTTCACATCTGCACGCATTTGTGTTTTTGTGTGTGTGTACGTGTGTGTGGCACTGGGGATCAAACCCCGGGCACTCTAATACTGGGAAACATCTCCAGTCCTTTTTTTTGGTGGGAGGCGGGTGGTAACACGGTCTTGCTAAATTGCCCAGGGAAGACAAACTTGCAGTCCTCTTCTGTCAGCCTTCCTAAATGCTGGGGTTACAGGTGTGCACTGCCACCCCCAGCTCATTTTCCCGTCTCTTGTTCCCTCTTCAGTGCATGAAATTCAGGCCTTGGCCTCCACCACTCCAATAAAGCCAACATAAATGAACACCTTTCTCTCATTAAACTTAATAATGGGTTTTCTATTATCTGTCTTACTCAGCTTCTCACAACATTCAACACAGATAATAGAATCTAAAAAGTGAGATAATCCTAAGGGTGTAGGCCCTAATTCTCTCCCACCACTCTCCATTTTTGACTCCCACATGGGGGGGAGAGGTAGATGGAGCCTCAATCACACTGTCTGAGTCACTGTATTTTGTGTCTCCTGACACCAGCTTCATCTCAGTTCTTCTGAAGCCCTTTAGTCATAGCCTCACTTTTTATTTAATTTACACATTTCGCTTGTTTTAGGATACTTGCACTTCAAGGGTTTTGAAATACTTCTCTAATGCTCAATGTCCTGACTCCAAGACATTGTGTGATCACAGAAACTGCTCACTCCGTGCCCTGAAATACAGGCATCATGCACAGGAATCCTTCCAGTCAAGCAAAGGACTCGTGCAAGGAGCAACATAGTAGCCCACCAAGAAAATTGAAGTGGGAAATTCAAGACCAAGAGAATAGTGTATATATTGGTCACCACCAAATTTTATTTTCTATTGTTTCACATACAAAAACTCTGAAAAGCTTATGTGATCCTTTATGTCCACAATAGTCCATCTTAGTGAATCTGTATTTTCAGTTCAAAATTTTATTCATTGGTAAGTCAAAACTCAGAAGTATCCTTACTATAAAGATTGTACAGACTTGTTCTTTTACCTACTTGCTATCCTAAATAATTAGTTTGTATAACTTCTCCTTGGTATTTCCTATTCTCTGGTTGCTATAAGAACTGCTGTTCTGAGCTGAGATGGTGATCAGAGTGAGCCTGTAATCCCAGTACTCTGGTAGGCTGAGGCAGGAGGATCACAAATTGAAACCCAGCCTCAGCAACATGACAAAATAGCATGACTGTGTTTCAAAATAAAAAATAAAAAAGAACTGAGAATGTAGCTCAATGTGAAGGTCCTAGATTCAATATTTAGTATCAAAAAAATTACTGCTCTGTTTTCTCTGTTTAACTAGCAAAATTATTACATTTGTGTTCAAAATGCATTATTGTTTGTCTCTGTTGCCACTACTTATATAAACTTCTTAATAAAATAATCTATACAAATATTGGGCCTAAGGTCTTTCACATTAAACAAATAAGAGACTCTGAAGGTTTCTAACATAATCAGATCTGTGTTTTATTGGCAGAAGTTTAAAGGATACACTGGAGTGAGAGAGGCTTAAGGGCCTTAGTTCATTCATTCAACCAAGATAAATGTTAGGAACATTTATGAGGGACCTAGCACTAATCTAGTTAACCAGATGAGTTATGTTAAACTTAACAAGGGTCAAAGCTGGAGCAGATGTAGAGAAGAGGTCAGATACAAAGAGACAACAAGTGGGGCATGTGGCACACACCTGTAATCCCACCACTTGGGAAGCTGAGACATGAGGATCACTGTGAGTTTGAGAGTATCCTGGGCCATATAGTGAGTTCAAGGCCAGCCTGAACTACATAGCAAGAACCTGTCTCAAAAAGGCAGGGGGAGCGGCTATGGAGGGCAGTGTTATCTAGGTAGCACTCTTATGACAAGCACTAGGTGAGACCAAGTCATGGTTTAGTTTGTTCTGCTTATTTGATCATCAAATACTATAACTCCAAAGTAGGCTAAGCATCTAGGGAAGATAGCTTCAAGTTCAAGAAAAAATGTGCACATAGATTGATGCAAACACAGCATCATCATTTTTGCTAGGAAAAACAAGAGAAAACTTGGACCCTTTTATTTATGGACAATAGCATCATCTTCTTGAAAGCCACTGACTGCCAAGCCTGGCACAGATTTGATGTTGTAGGATGAATGGATGAAGGAATAAAAGGAATGAAGGAAAAATGTCAGAGAAGAAAGGATAGAAGACAAGTTTAATCAGTAGTGGACTGAGCACAAATGCCAAAATCTTCTTCCTACTTCAATTCCTACAAATAAGAGAAAACACATTTTTAAAAGTAAATCAATGTACTATCAGGATTTTTTAAAAAGTACTCAATCAGAAGACAGAGACATGAGGAATCTCAGAAAACAAAAAAAATCACATCAATAGAAGAAATCATAACCCAAAACATATGTAGGGAAAAGGATGCTGTAATTTCTTTCATTTACACCACTAGTTTATCTTAGTTCATTGAAAAGAAAGTTTTGTGTTATCTGTTTGCTTCTTCTTTGTAAAACTAGTTTTGGTCTGTCTTGTACTCTGAATAACTATTTTGAATATGATGATACATGGCATATTAACTATTGTTCCCCTCTTATTATTTTGTTATGAAATTTTGTTTTATTTTTTCATAACATAGAAAAGTGAAGGGTTTCTGGTGTGCACCGAAGTAAAGGACAATGGAAACATGGAAGAACACCAAGTAGTATTGATTGAAGACTCTCTGTAAACCCCCCTCACCCTCTCAACCAAACATCAAGCAGCAGAGGTCTCTGCTCTCACTCGAAAAGTAAGAGTCTTCTGGTCCTACAGGGGAAACACTGTCCTGGGAAGCTGCAGACACGCAAGAAGAAATCCTGTGTTCCCACACCCTAAAAGTAAATTACTGCTACACCCTTCCTGTACTTCCTGTTTACACCTCATTCTCCTGGAGACAGGCTACCGACAACAGTAGGCCTCTCCACATGCAAGCTGGAAGAAGTACTGCCATGCAAAGAGGGCACCCCAATTAGCAAATTTAAGCATCTATATTTTCTTTCTTAATGAGATACATGGTGTGTTGGTTACTTTTCTCTCATTGCTGAAACAGAATACCTGACACCCAAAATTGAAGAAGGAAAGGTTTATTTAGCTTACAGTTTATGGAGATTTCAGTCTGTAGTCAGCTGGCTCCAAGGCAGGGTGGCATGGACGGGGCAACAGTTCAAGACAGCAAAAGCAACAAGAGCAAAAGGGAGAAAGAGCAAGTCTCTCTTCCTCCCATGTAAGCAGGCTACCCCCACCCAGGGCAGGTATAGCACTCACACTATCTCCTTGCCTTCCTCTTGCACTGGATGAGAATGTTTACAAACGAAGGACCCTGACCCCACGCTGAGTCACTTAGTTAACCTTCCAAACTTCTCAAGTTGACACAATGTATCAACAATAACACATGGTAATTGCAGTCACCTTGAAGAATTGGTGTATATACGTAACACATCTTGATCATTTTTACTCCCCTTTATGTTCCCCCAGCCTCCTCTCTCCCTTCTTTTTCAGATCCCTTTCCTATCTCCACAGAGTCTACTTCCCTGTTTCCTACCATCTCTTGGTTATTTTGCTCTTTCAATTATTTATATTTTGGGTCTCTCATATTAAAGCAATCATGCAATATTTAATTTGTTTTCTGATTTATTTCACTTACTGTAACGTTCTCAACATCCATCCATTTTCCTACATATGATTCAAATTTACCTGTCTTTATGGTTGAGTAGTACTCCATTACGTGTAAGTGCCATCTTTTCTTTATCCATTCATCTGTTGATGGGCATATAGCCATGATTTAGCTATTGTGAGTTGGGGGAAGATACTGAGGAGATGGATAGCTGGGTCAAAATGGAAATTCTATACTTAGCTTTTTGAGGAATCTCTATACTGAATCTCTATACTGATTTCCATAGTGTTGTTCTGATTTGCATTTCTGCAATGGCCAAAGATGTTCAACCTCTTTTCATATACTGACTGCCCATTTGAGATAGACCTATCTAGGATGGGCGTGGTGGTGCACGCCTGCAATCCCAGAACTCGGGAGGCTGAGGAAGGAGGATTGTTGCGAGTTCGAGACCAGTGTGAGCTACAAAGTGAGCTCAAGGCC